TCGAGTTGCAACAACAAGGTCAAATAACTTCTATACAACGAAAGGCGACTGTGACCATACATAAGGCCACACCATCTTAGTCTTCATACTTTCCAATATACGTTTTAGTTGCTATAATTCGGTACACACTTGTTGAATTTCAGACATTTATTAGTTTAATATACTATGCACTCCGTTTTTAATCTTAGAATCTTATTCATTTTTCAATTACTCACTTTTCTCATTCATCTCTTTTTTTCATTACTTTTAATATTATTATTCCTTGCTTCATATTTGCCCTCATATTTTCTTACGATTCCTACCTGCGATAGGAAGGCGCGTGCGTCCTCCTAGGTCTCGGATGCACGGGACGAATCCACGTCTTTCGACGGAACTCGATCGATGCCACAGAATACCGTTTTTCCGTCTCTACCATTCAGCAGAGGGTGGCCAGCCTTATGTCCTCGTGTTTTTCTCGCTCATCATCTGTTACCATAACGTCAAAAGAGGCTCGGCAGCGTGCAGTACTCAGCCAGTTTGCCTCGCAGGGCGAAGAGTATACGTCCTATGATGTGGCTCAACTATTGCTTGATAGAGCAGCTGGTCTCGTAGAGGTTCGCGAGGTGGAGCACAATTTTTGCGCCAATGTTTCTGTGATTCGTTTCGAGACTGCGACTAACACTGACTATCTAGTATCTGGATTCAATATCAACACCAATAAGTGGATGCTCGAGTGAGCACTATTTACTGATAACTAATTACAAGCTTAGGATATATATGTAATGTAAGAAAGAATTCAGTGTTGAATATGAACCGCTTGTGCTTAATTTGCAAGCCCGAACATAGTTAGCCAGCTACAAGAAAAATAAATTAAATAACTCCATAGCCCACACAGGAGACCAAATAGACTGACCTAATACCAAACGCTTAGCTGGATATTGAGACTATCAGTATGTGGAAAATAAGGCATCAAAACGGCCAATACCCTGAATAGGATGATTGAGTGTAGGAAATTATATGGAGACTTCTTGTGGCTTTTGGATAGGAGTAGAGAACGAGGGAGAGGAAACAAGAAGAACTGTCGAGCATGAAGAGGAAGTTTTATTAGCCTTAAATCA